CAACGGTAGAGCACCTGGTACAGACTCTGGGAATCCTCCCAGACACTGACCAGAGGCCCCCCCAAGTCCTGGGACAGTGAGGTCCTCCGAGGGCAGGGGTGGGCGGCTGAGGCTTCACAGGACGGAAGACTTGGCAGAGGTGGTGTGCGGATGTTTGTCTAGGAGGAGACAGCAGGAGAAGCGAAGGCATCCAGAGACAGGGCCTGGGGAATGTCAGAGCAGGTGGGGGATCACGTGGGGACTCGTGTGAAGGGGTGCTGGGAGAGGGGACCTGAGTTTGAGTCTCGCTGCCCTGTAACAAAGACCCATGCCTGTGACCGCTTCCATGGAAGCCTCAGTTTCCCCACTTGGCAAAGGATTAAGGGTTTGTAGTTTCTGGTGGGCTGTTGGGTGGCACTGGGCCTCAGTTTCTCCATCTGGAAAATGGGTAGAGGAGGATTAGAAACATTGAGTGGGATCGGACATTGGCAAACTCTATACCTTGGTGACGACCTCATAATGGAAGGTAGGATAGCTGTTTCTCTGGGCACCTTGCTTTCTGACTCCCTCATTCTACACTTTTTAGCAGTTATTGGCCCAGCAAGCTGCACTAACCAGGGGCGTGCAGAGGAAGGCTGAGTAAGATCCAGGCTCTGAGATCTTAGGGGCAGCCCCCTAAAGAAGTGCAGTTGGGCCAGGCGCAATGGCTCACACCTGTAAGCCCAGCACTTTGCGAGGCTGAGGCAGAAGGATCACTTGAGTCTGGGAGTTCGAGACCAGCCTGGGCAACATAAGGAGACCCCCCCCCCCCGCAACTCTCCAGAAAATACATTAGCCCGGGCGTAGTGGTGTGCATCTGTAGTCTCAGCTACTCGGGAGGCTGAGGTAGGAGGATCCCTTGAGCCCAGGAGGTTGAGGCTGCAGTGAGCTAGGACTGTGCCACTGCATTCCAACTTAGGCAACACATGGAGATCCTGTCTCAAAAAAAAAAGAAAAAGAAAAGAAAAGAAAAGAAAAAGAAAGGAGCGGAGAGTTGCGTCTGACTCTGTGCCTCGGTCTCCCCGTTTGTCTCGGGGGTCGTCAGGGAGCCGCCCGTCGCGAGGCGGGGCGGATGCGCCCTTTGCCCCCTCCCCGCTGGGCCCCGCCCCCACAGCTGTCCAGAAAAGGTCCCGCGCAGCCGGCGCTCGGTCCAGCCTCCACACGGTCCTGGCGATGCAGGGCCCCCCCGCGCCCGCCCCGGCCCCGGGGCCCAGCTCCCCTCGGGGCTCCCCGCGCGGCTCCCCCGGGCTCTTCAGGAAGCTTTTGGTGAATCAGAGCATCCGCCTGCAGCGGCGCTTCACGGTGGCCCATCCGCTGTGGTGAGGCGGGACAGAGGGCCTGGCGGGGTCACCGGGACGCCCGGTGTGGAGGTGGGAAGGGCAGGGACAGGGACAAGGGCAGGGACAGCTGGGGCCAGGGCCGGAGTCAGGGCATGGACGCTCTGCCTCTCCCTCGCTTTCTCTGTATCTCTCTCCCCCTACCCTACTCTACTTTTGTCTCGCAGTTGGTAACTCTGTCTCTCTCTGTCTCTGTCTGTCTCCACCCGCCGCCTGGATATAGGCCCAGGGGACCAGCCGTCTGTCTCCTTCCAGCTGTGAGGCCCAGAGTGGGACGGGCTGAGGCTCACGTCTCCTCCTGACCCTCGCCGGCCTAGGGCAGGCAGGCTGTGCGTCCTGGCAATGGGAGGAAGGGGAAGGGGCACTTCTCCCCTTGGCGCCCCCTCCCACCACCATTCCGTCCCAGTGCCAGCAAAGAGATGCCCTGGGGGCCTCACAATGAACTCTGGGTGTCCACGGAGGAAGACCTGAATTGAGGGGGTTTTCGAAGCAGGGCGTTCGGGAGTCCCAGGATGAGCGCGCGCCCGTGCCCCGCAGCTGCTTGCGCTGCATCCTCTAAGCACTCGGTCCACCCCTCCTCTGGGTTCGAATCCCTGCCTTTCCAGAAACGACTGTGACCTCGTGGGGAGGGGTGGGGGCGAGGCTGGGGTCCGGAGTGGGGCTTGTGGGCGCCGACTGTGACTGGCATCCTGCGCTCGGTCCGCGCCGAATTGGCACCCACTTGGTAAGTCTGGCATCCAAAGGCTGAGAGGGGCGGGAGGTCCCTCTGCAAGGTCATAGCTGGGGTTGGAGGGAGAAGGCATGATCGTGGTTCCTGGTGGTTTCATTTCAGCCAGGGAGTGGGGGAGTGGGGGTTCTGTGTCCTGGAGAGCGACCTCGGGGCACCGAACACGAGGGAAGCACGGTCACTTCTGAAGGCGCTGGAGAGAGCGCAAGGACGTCGAGGGCGCGTCACGGGTACCCAGAAGTGAAGATGAACGAGGGCGGGCTCTGCGCAGGTCGGACCCGAACCCAAGTCCGAGCCTCTCAGGCTCAGTTTACCCCCCTGGCCAATGGGCAGCCGCGCCGTTCCCACAGCCGGGGGGCCCTACCCCCGCGCCGCCCGCGTCATGGAACCACAGCCTGACCCCGCCGCTCCTGGCTAAGTTTAGAGCAGAAAGAAAAACAGCCTCCCCCGCCCCAAGAAAACCCGGGCCCAGCTCTTAACCCTCTGCGCCCGGGATCCGGATTTGCACACCCTGTGGCCGCTTCTGGCCTCAGTTTCCCTATTTGTCCATAGACGCGCTTTTCTGGAACCCTTGGGGAGAGGCGAGAGGGGTAGGGGGCCGCAACCCGCATGCCTGCCCCTCGAAGGGCAGATTTGGGGTATCCGCCGTCTCCAGCCCTCCCCTAAGAGCGTCTCCCATTGCGCCACAGCGCCCACGGCGCACCCCAAACCGGCCAGGGAAGGGTTAAGAAGCCCCGCCCCCTCGGCTGGCCGGGGGATCATCCCAGTCCCGCTAAACCCGCTGGAGTCGGACGGAACTGGCCGAGCGCGGCCGGTCTTAGTCGGAGATGCCCGAACTAGCCCCCGTGTAGCCGGACGTGACCGAACATGCCCGACCCGGCCCCGAGCGTCACCCGGACTTGTTCGAAGCAGACCGAGCGTAACCGGACTTAGACGAACAAGATCGAACTTATCCGAACTCTCCCGAGCTTAATCGGACGTAGCCGAATTCTCCCGAACTCATCAAACAAACTCTTCGGGACGAAGTCCAATTCGATGTGATCAGACCCAATTCAGACCCGGTCATACTTGACCAAATGCTGCCGAATCCCTCACCTCTACCCAGATCTGAGCCTACGCGGGGGTGCTGACCCAGCCCGTGGACGGGGATGGGGTGACCTTTGACCCAAAAGTCATGGCCGGGACCAGCTGGACACTGGCCCTCGGCCGGGAGCTGCGAGTCTCGGGCGGTCCCCGTTGTCTTCCTGTCGGTGCTGCTTCCGCCCGCCCTTCTTGAAAACCCTACCCCCAGATCACCATCTTCTCTTGGGCCTCAGTACTTGCCCTACGCCCTTTCTCTGACCTGTGACCCCAAAGAGGAGGGGCTAGAGGGTGTGGCCAGAGGGAAAGACAGGGTTTGAGGATAGAACGGGACAAGTAGTGTGGAGAAGGAGGAGAGTGCTCCGGGCAGAGGGCACGGCCTGTGCAAAGAGCCGGAGGTGCAAGAGAACAGGCGGAAGGTTCAGGCTGAAGATGAAGTGGATGAGTGGGGGAGCCTAGGGCAGGACCTGGTTAGCTGGGGGCGTGGTCGACGGCCGTGGGGCGGAGCCTTATGGGCTGAGGGTGGAGCCTGGAACGCTGGGGGCGTGGCAGGTGGCCAAGGGTGTGGTCAAGTTGGCTGGGAGTAGGGTCTCTCTAGACTAAGGCGCACGCAGGAGCTAGGCAGAACCCCGGCCTTCTCCAGGTAGAAGAGTCCAAGAAGCTGTTTCCAGTCCACGTGTTCACCATGTGAGCTAGATCTCAGTTTGTCCCTTTGCAATATGGTCATCCTGTCCCAGTCGTTGGATGTTCGGTTGTAACTCCCTCAAAGAGCTCTTGGGGATGGGCTACATCACGCACATGTTAGAAACAGGGGAGGCCGGGTGCAGTGGCTCATGCCTGTAATCTCAGTACTTTGGAAGGCCCAGGCAGGCAGATCACGAGGTCAGGAGTTCAAGAGCAGTCTGGCCAACATGGTGAAACTCCGTGTCTAGTAAAAATACAAAAATTAGCCGGGCGTGGTGGTGCGCACCTGTAATCCCAGCTACTTGGGAGGCTGAGGCAAGAGAATTGTGTGAACCCGGGAGGCGGAGGTTGCAGTGAGCTGCGATTGTGCCCCCACTGCACTCCAGCGTGGACAACTGCACTCCAGCGCCGGCAACAGAGCGATACTTCATCTCAAAAACCCCTCAAAAAACAGAATGAAAAGAAACAGGGGAGGCCTGGTGCAGTGGCTCACTCCTGTAATCCCAGCACTTTGGGAGGCAGAGGTGGCAGGATTATTTGAGGCCAGAAGTTCAAGACCAGCCTGGGCAAAATAGTGAGACCTGGTCTCTACAAAAAATTTAAAAATTACCCGGGTGGGGGGGCGTGCTCCTGTAGTCTCAGCTACTCAGGAGGTTGAGGCTGGAGGATGGCTTGAGCTTAGGAGATTGAGGCTGCAGTGAGCTAGGATCATACCACTGCACTGCAGCCTGGGTGACAGAGTGGGGCCCTTTCAAAAAAAAGAAAAGAAAAGAAAAGAAAAGAAAAGAAAGAAAGAAAGAAAGAGCGAGAGAGAGAGAGAAAGAAAGAATGAGAAAGAGAAAAAAGAAAGAAAGAGAGAAAAATAAAAGACACAGGGTGGTTGAGGTCCAGAGAAAGTCAGTACCTGTCTATGACCACAAAGCCACTTTGAGGAAGATCTGGAACTGAGGTCCTGGAGTCCAGTGTAGACTCGAAGACCAAAGTGTGAGGGGTGCAGTCTCCTGAGGGTGCAGCTGGGGTCAGGTGAACAAGCTGGAAACCACACTTGCCTGACTGCCAAGTAGCCTCAGGGAGGATGCACCAGACAAGGTGGCCACGACCCGGCACCCAATTGTCATGACCCTCGTCTCTGACCATGTCTTCTCTCCTTTCAGCTTTGACCTGGAAAATGGGCTCTCATGCGGAAGGAGGGCCCTGGACCCTCAGTCCAGCCCTGGGCTGGGCCGGGTCATGCAGGCTCCAGTCTCGCACAGCCAGCGGCGCGAGTCCTTCCTGTACCGCTCAGATAGTGACTATGAACTCTCACCCAAGGCCGTGTCTCGGAACTCCTCTGTGGCCAGCGACCTGTGAGTCTGGGGCTGGTGGAATGACACCTCCTCTACGCTCCCTCCTTCCTTTGTTCCTCTATTCAGCAAGTTCCTTCAAGTAGCCATTTAAGGAAGGTTTTGAAGTTCAGGTAGGAGTTTGCCAGGCAGCTCATTTATTCAATCAAGTGTGTAGAGAACTCGGCCTTTTGCTGGGGTGGGGGTGGTAATCCAAAAACATTAAGGTCGGCCGGGCACGGTGGCTCACGCCTGTAATCCCAGCACTTTGGGAGGCCGAGGTCGGCGGATCACTTGAGGTCAGGAGTTCAGGACCAGCCTGGCTAACATGGTGAAACCCCGTCACTACTAAAAAATACAAAAATTAGCCAGGTGTGGTGGTGCGTGCCTGTAGTCCCAGCTACTCAGGAGGCTGAGGCACAAGAATCGCTTGAAGCCTGGAGGTGAAGGTTGTAGTGAGCCGAGATGGTACCACTGCACTCCAATCTGGGCGAAAGAGCAAGACTATGCCTCAAAAAACAAACACATTAAGGCTAATTAGCAGCAAATGAAGAAATACTTTGACCTTCCTAGTGGGCATAATGAAAAGAGAAATACCTCCTTGCCTCTGGGACTCAGTTTCCCCATTTATGAGATGCCGATAAAGTGAGTGAATGGTTGGAGGGGCTGTGGTGGGTCTCAGGGAGAGTCGCATGAAGGGAGCCCAGGGACTAAGAAGGCGCCCGGAGGAGAAGTCCTGAGAACAGGAACCCCTCAGCTGAGGGTATATGGTGTGGGTAAAAGCTCGAAGATGGGAGAGAACTCTTCCTGATGGCACGTCTCCTCGCAGACATGGAGAGGACATGATTGTGACGCCCTTTGCCCAGGTGGGTGTCCCCCGCCCTCCCTGCCCTGACCCCCTCCGGATCTGGCCTCTCCTTCCCACCGCCTACCACCTCCTCCCAACAGGTCCTGGCCAGTCTGCGGACGGTTCGGAGCAACGTGGCGGCCCTTGCCCGCCTGCAATGCCTAGGAGCAGCCAAGTAGGTAGAGGGCGGGGCGGGGCGGGGGCGGGGCCGGCAGAGACAAGGTGGGCGGGGAGGGGCGGGGCCAGCAGACGACGGAGGCGGGGCCTGGCGGAAAGCGGGCTGCAAATTGAGGCTGGGACTCTGGCGCCTAAGGGTGGGCTTGAGGGGCGGGGCTTGGAGGACTTGGGGGCGGTGCGAGATGGGCGGAGCAGCCACGCCTGAGGCTGCTGTACCGCAGGCAGGGACCCGTCGGAAACCCTTCATCCAGCAATCAGCCCCCTCCGCCTGCAGGTAAAGTATCTGTTCCTTCCCTCCCCTGCTGAGGACAGCTGGGAGCTTCCTTTCCATAGTGACCTCCCCAGTCCATGAGCCCTTAGACTGGGGCTAATTGTAGCCCTGCCCCTGCAAAAACAAACAATAACGCCCTCGGGGATGGACCCCACCACACCCATATTACAGATGAGGAGGCTGAGGCCCAGAGAGCTCATGGTCACACAGCCACTCGGGGGACAGATCTGGAACTTGGGTCCAGGAGTCCTGGGTGGCCCCCGTGGGAACAGTTTCAGGGTCCAGATGCAGAGACGAAAGCGTGAGAGGCGTGGGGTCCCTGAGCGGGGGTGGGGCAGGCCCCTGACTGCCTCGGCTCCCAGAGGACACGGGGCAGAAGCTGGCATTGGAGACGCTAGACGAGCTGGACTGGTGCCTGGATCAGTTGGAGACGCTGCAGACCCGGCACTCGGTGGGGGAGATGGCCTCCAACAAGGTGAGGTGGGGCAGATCGCTGAGCTCACCTGCCTCGGCCCACGGTACCCCATCATCACTGTCTTCACCTTCCCTCCGCCCCAGTTCAAGCGGATCCTAAACCGGGAGTTGACCCACCTGTCCGAAACCAGCCGCTCGGGGAACCAGGTGTCCGAGTACATCTCCCGGACCTTCCTGGGTGAGCTTTGTTGAGTCACTGCCTGGACGATATTATAGGAGTACTAAGAAGCAAGAGAAAGAAATATTTCTATTATAGACCTCAGTCCGGGGGAGATACAGCCTGACACAGACACCTTCGGCCCCATGATTCAGGGCTGGATCAGAGGGAGGAACAAGGGGAACTTCCAGGAGCAGGGGACATTAAAGCTAGGGTTTTGAAGCATGAGTAGAAATTTGCCTAGGAGGAGATGGAGGGAACCAGACACCAGCTTGGGAGACAGAAAGGACACTAGGCTGTTTGCGGGGAAATGCTGAGCCCCAGGCACTCCGGGGCCATGCCTAGCAGAAGAGTTTACTGAAATCAGCTGTGAACAGAGGAGAGGGGTAGGTAGCTACAGGCAAGACAGGACTTTTTTTTTTTTTTGATACAGTTTCACTTTGTTGCCCAGGCAGTAGTGCCATAGTGCAATCTCAGCCACTGCAACCTCCGCCTCCTGGGTTCAAGCAATTCTCCCACCTCAGCCTCCCGAGTAGCTGGGGTTACAGGTGCCCGCCACCATACCTGGCTAATTTTTGTATTTTTAGTAGTGATGGGGTTTCACCATATTGCTCAGACTGGTCTTGAACTCCTGACCTCAAGTGATCCGCCCCCCTCGACCTCCCAAAGCACTGAGATTACAGGCGTGAGCCACCGCATCCGGCCGACAGGGTCTTTACCCCGAACTTACTTTGGTTCCTGTATAAAGGGGAATAGGTTGATTTCCTATTCAGGTTCTGAGGCCAGGCCCCAACAGGTGAAATTGGCTTCTGTAAGCCTCACCCTGGCCCATCTGCAGACCAGCAGACTGAGGTGGAGCTGCCCAAAGTGACCGCTGAGGAGGCCCCGCAACCCATGTCCCGGATCAGTGGCCTACATGGGCTCTGCCATGGTACCAGCCTCTCCTCAGCCACTGTCCCACGCTTTGGGGTCCAGACTGACCAGGAGGAACAGCTGGCCAAGGTGGGTCCTCAACCACAATGCCAAGATCAAGGTTTGGTCCTTGGCTCTGTCTGCCTGTTTGCCCACCTATATACTGGGCAGTTGGGGCTCACTGTGGAACCTGGGGTGGGAGGATGGAGGCTCTAGAGTCTGGGGAAGTTGGGCTGGGGTTAATTAAGCTCCAGTCCTTCACATCTTAGGAGCTAGAAGACACCAACAGGTGGGGACTTGACGTGTTCAAGGTGGCGGAGCTAAGTGGGAACCGGCCCCTTACAGCTATCATATTCAGCATTTTTCAGGTACCTACCCTGCCCTTGGCTTCCAAGGAAAAACTCCTGGGGTTTCCTTCACCACTTCCTACCCTAGACCTCTGGGACACTCATTTTTGAAATCCTTTCTGACATTTCTGAAGGGGATAATTTGAGCAGGGTATTGAAGGATGAATAGGAGTTCACACAGATGAACAGTTCATTGTCCAGAAGCCTCAGCCCTGGCCCCTGGCCCTGAAGAGGAGAGAAATCTGGAGAGAAGAGCTGGATACAGACATCCCCAGTCCTGTAGGGTCAGGGATGGACCACCAAAGAACACAGAGTGGAGGAGTTCAGGAGAGCAGGGAGGGCGTCTCAGAGGAGTGGGTGCTTGAGGCATGGATAGGAGTTCAGAAGAGAGGAGTAGGAACAGCGTGTGCTGCAGCCCCAAGACCAAGGCCCTGAGGCCAGGATCTGTGATGGACCAGGAGCGGGACCTGCTGAAGACATTCCAGATCCCAGCAGACACACTGGCCACCTACCTGCTGATGCTGGAGGGTCACTACCATGCCGATGTGGCCTATCACAACAGCCTACATGCCGCTGATGTGGTCCAGTCCACGCATGTGCTGCTGGCTACACCTGCCCTGGAGGTACTGCACTAGGACTGCAGGCAGGCGGGCGGGTGCAGGGCCCAGAGAACCCGCCCCTCATCACCTGTGCTCTCTGCCTGCTCAGGCTGTGTTCACAGACTTGGAAATCCTGGCTGCCCTCTTCGCAAGCGCCATCCATGATGTGGACCATCCTGGGGTCTCCAACCAGTTTCTGATTAACACCAGTAAGTAGGAGTGGGAAGTGGGTGCAGGAGGTGAGGCAGACCCCGCCTCCACCCTGTCTACCAGGTGATCTCAGGGGGTTCCCATCTGTCCTGAGCCCAGTCTCCCTGTTTATGAAATTACTATGACAGTCTTCCCTCCCCTTCAGGGGCTTGGAGCAGGTCTGGGTGCACAGTAGGTGCTCAATAAATGACAGAATAATGAGCTGTGGCAGAGCTGATCTGGTTCCACCAAGGTCTTTATTTATTTATTTATTTATTTTATTTTATTTTATTTTATTTTATTTTTTTTTTGAGACGGAGTCTCGCTCTGTCGCCCAGGCTGGAGTGTGGCGGCGCGATCTCGGCTCACTGCAAGCTCCGCCTCCCGGGTTCCCGCCATTCTCCTGGGGGCCTGCCAGCCTGCCCAAGTAGCTGGACTACAGGGGCCCGCCACCGTCGCCTGGCTATTAGTTTTTTGTATTTTTAGGAGAGACGGGGTTTCACCGTGTTAGCCAGGATGGTCTCGATCTCCTGACCTCGGTGATCCGCCCGTCTCGGCCTCCCAAAGTGCTGGGATTACAGGCGTGAGCCACCGCGCCCGGCCTATTTATTTATTTTTTAAGACAGGGTCTTGCTCTGTCACCCAGGCTGGAGTGCAGTGGTGCGATTTCGGCTCTCTGCAACCTCTACATCCCAGGTTCAAGCGATTCTCTAGCCTCCGACTCCCGGAGTAGCTGGGATTACAGGTGCGCGCTACCATGCCGGGCTAAGTTTTGTATTTTTCATAGATACAAGGTTTCGCTATGTTGCCCAGGCTGGTTTCAAACTCCTGGCGTCAAGCGGTCTGCCTGCCTCGGCCTCCCAAAGTGCTGGGATTACAGTCATAAGTCACCACGCCTGGCCATTTCCACCAAGATCTTAAAGTTTAGGATCGTATGAGGAATCTGAAAAACTCGGTCGACAGGCAATTATTGGGCACTTTCTGTGTATAAGCCCTGGAGTGCTGGGGGTGAGAGTGGAGGCCCCTCACTCAAAGGGCCTAGAGTCCAATAAGACAAAGACTCAGTTGTTTATTTAACCAGCACTGAGAGACTGGGCATCATAGCTCACACCTGTAATCCCAACACTGTGGGAGGCCGAGGCAGGAGGATTGCTTGAGTTCAGGAGTTCGAGACCAGCCTGGGCAATACAGTGAGACCCTGTCTCTCAAAAAAATAATAAAAAAAATTAGCCAAGTGTGGTGGCACACACCTGTAATCCCAATTACTCAGGAGGCTGAGATGGGAGGATCACTTGAGGCCGGGAGGTTGAGGCTGCAGGGAGCCGTGATTGCACCACTGTGCTCCAGCCTGGGTGACAGCAAGACCCTGTCTCTAAAAAACAAACAAACAAACAAACAAAAAAACATTACTGAGTACTCACTGTCTCTGGCCATAGTGGGTCCGTGAGGAGCCTTCCCAGTCTTGGGTAGGCAGAGCCAAACACAGATACCCCTGGCCCTGCAGTCAGGGAAGGGCCAGGGACATGGATGGTTTCTTACAGGAGGGCATGCTAGAGTTGGGCCTTCAATGCATGGGTAGGAGTTTGCTAAGGATTTCCGAAAGCTGCTTTTGGGTAGAGTGGGTGGGGCGGGTGGATCTTGGGGCTCTCAGTCCCATATCCCCGCAGACTCAGAGCTGGCGCTTATGTACAATGATGCCTCCGTGCTGGAGAACCACCACCTGGCTGTGGGCTTCAAGCTGCTGCAGGCAAAGAACTGCGATATCTTCCAGAACCTCAGCACCAAGCAGCGACTGAGTCTGCGCAGGATGGTCATTGACATGGTGAGGCTAGGGCAGTAATAGGGGAGGGAGGGGTAGAGGGGAGGGGGGCATCCTTCTCATCTGCCAACAGCAGGGTGGGGTAATATTAGCATGGCCGGCGGTTCATCCAGACCCAGGCATGTCCTCACTCTGAGTCTGAGCTGTCCTCATCTGTGAAATGGAACAGTGGAGCCAGGAGCGCGTGGCTCATGCCTGTAATCCTAGCACTTTGGGAAGCAGAGGCAGGCAGGTCCACGAGTTCGAGACCAGCCTGGCCAACATGGTGAAACCTCGTCTGTACTAAAATACAAAAATTAGCTGGCATGGTGGTGCGCACCTGTAATCCCAGCTACTCAGGAGACTGAGCAGGAGAATTGCTAGAACCAGGAGGCCAGAGGCTGCAGTGAGCTAGTGAGCTGAGATCGTGCCACTGCACTTCAGCGTCAGCACAGAGTAAGACTCCATCCAAAAAAAAAAAGGGACAGTAACTGCCAAACCCCAGGCCCTCTGCTGGGCCTCAGCAGATCCTGGCTGTACGCAGGTGATATGGAAACTGCTTCTGGGTTCTCAAGTGCAACTTTGCTGAGCCTTAAATTGGCATATCTGGGTTGGCACAGGCTCACGCCTGTAATCCCAGCATTTTGGGAGGCTGAAGCGGGCAGATCACTTGAGGTCAAGAGTTCGAGACCAGCCTGACAAACATGGTGAAACCCCCCGCTCTCTACTAAAAATACCAAAATTAGCTAGGCGTGTGGTGGCACCTGTGATCCCAGTTACTTGGGAGGCTAAGGCAGGAGAGTCGCTTGAACCCAGGAGGTGGAGGTCGCAGTGAGCTGAGATTGCACCACGCACTCAGCCTCAGTAACAGAGTGAGACTCTGTCTCAAAAAAAGGAAAAATCATTAAGCAGCCAGGCACGGTGGCTCAGGCCTGTAATCCCAGCACTTTGGGAGGCTGAGGCAGGTGGATCATGAGGTCAAGAGATCAAGACCATCCTGGCCAACATGGTGAAACCCCGTCTCTACTAAAAATACAAAAATTAGCCAGGGTGGTGCACGCGCCTGTAATCCCAGATACTCAGGAGGCTGAGTCAGGAGAATCACCTGAACTTGGGAGGGGAGGTTGCAGTGAGTGGAGATAGCGCCACTGCATTCCAGCCTGGCGACACAGCAAGACTCCGTCTCAAAAAAAAAAAAAAAAAAAAATTAAGCACATCTGTCCATTTGATTTTTTTTTTTTTAAGTAGGGCACATCAGTAGGTTTGGGGTCTCATGCCTCATTAATGCACTAACAAGCATTTATTGAGCACCTATTATGTGCTTGATCTGTGCAAAGACAGTTCCGGCCTTTATGAAATTCATGATCTGTAGGGCAGATGGCCACAGAGGTGGTAGCTGTGACGGGACCTGCCAGGCAGAGCGGTGAGGAGGGAGGTTCAAGTGCTTTCAAGAGCCCAGACCAGCCAAAGAGATCAAGAGAGGGGTTCCGTGGAGAGGGAACATTAAAGCCAGGATGGTGCAGAATAGGAAGACTACGGATGGGGAACTGTGTTCCCAGGGGTGGGAACCACATGTGAGGACTACAGCCGCGCACCTCCATGCCCACGTTAATTTTGTTATTTTAGTAAGAGATGAGGTTTCACCCATGTTGGCCAGGCTGGTCTCGAACTCCTGAACCTCATGATCCACCCGCCTCGGCCTCCAAATTCTGGTTACGAAGGCGTGACGCGACCACGCCTCTGGCGGTCATTCGGTTTTTAAACATCTGTGCCCAGAGTTAAAAACAGCCTCCAAGGCTGGCATGGTGGATCACGCCTGTAATCCCAGCACTTTGGAGGCCAAGGCAGGTGGATCACGAGGTCAGGAGATTGAGACCATCCTGGCTAACATGGTGAAACCCCGTCTCTACTAAAAATACAAAAAATTATCTGGCACAGTGACACGCACCTGTAATCACAGCTACTCGGGAGGCTGAAGCAGGAGAATCACTTGAACCCAGGAGACAGAGTTCAAGTGACCGAGATCACACCACTGCACTGCAACCTGGGTGACAGAGCAAGACTCCATCTCACAAAAAATAAAATAAAATAAAATAAAATAAAATAAAATGGAAAGAAAAAAGAAAGAAATAGCTCTCCAGGGCACATGGCAGCCACATGGAAGTTTGAGGGGTATGAAGTCACATCCCTCCCCACAGTGAGCTGCAAACTCCCTTGCAGCTTTGGACAAGGTCCTCCAGCTGCCAGAGGCCCTCAACCTCCTCGATCTCACCTCCATCTCTCTTGAGCTCACTTCTTCCAGCCACAACCACCCCTTCTAGGTTCCGCTTATGTACGCAACTCTTCCAGTCCCTTTGCACAGACCTCATCCTCCACGCTGTCCTCAGGTACAACTCACCTTAGCACGTAAGCAGCCCTGTGGGATCAGAATTGGGGTTGGAGGAGGCTGGAAGGGTCAACAGAGGCATCCTAGAGGATGGATTATTTGAAAAGGGTTTTGAGGGATGAGTAGGAGTTGGGAAGTGGCATTCCAGGCAGAGGGAAAAACCTGGCTAAAGATCTGGAGACTGTATTGGTTCTAGGGTTTGCTGTGACTCACTGAATGCCTACCTGACCCACCCACCCCACAGGTGGATTTCATTGATTACATTGCCCACCCACTGTGGGAGACCTGGGCTCACAAGTCCCAGACGCACAGGTTTGGTCACCTCCCCCCACACCCTGTCACACGTGTAGAATTCATGGCCAACCCAAACAACCTCCCAGAAGGGGCCCCTGACTGAGCCCCTCTTGTGAGCAGGGTTTGCAGTGAATGCAGTTCCATCCTCCCATTTCACAGATGAGTATGCTGAGGCCCAGAAGGCTGATTCTGAGCCGGAGTGGCATCTGGGAGTTGGGAGTGAGGGTCGGGGTGGGCAGGGTCCTTGCACCTGTCACCTTCCCTTGCCTGCCCCCAGGTGCTGGCCACAGACATGTCCAAACACATGAACCTCCTGGCCGACCTCAAGACCATGGTGGAGACCAAGAAGGTGACAAGCCTCGGTGTCCTCCTCCTGGACAACTATTCCGACCGAATCCAGGTGTGTAGCTGGGCGGGCCCCGGGGCCTCCTTTTTATATTTTGGTTTTACTTTAAAAACAATTTTAGCTAGGCCTCTTACACATTTAGTTTGAGTGAAGGCTGAGGGCAGTGGCTCACACCTGTAATCCTAACACTTTGGGAGGTTAAGGCGTGAGGATTGCTTGAGGTCAGGAGTTAGAGGCTGCAGTGAGGTGTGATTGCACCATTGTATTCTGGTCTGGGCAACAGAGTGAGACCCTGTCTCTTAAAAGAAAAAAAAAAAAAAAAGAAATTAAAAAAAGAAGCCTGGCTCAGAGGCTCACACCTGTAATCCTGGCACTTTGAGAGGCTGAGATGGGCGGATCGCTTGAGCTCAGGAGTTCAAGACCAGCCTGGGCAACACCCTGTCTCTACAAAAATACAAAAATTAGCCGGGCATGGTGGCACATGCCTATAGTTCCAGTTACTCGGGAGGCTGGGGTGGGAGGATCATTTGAGCCTGGGAGGCAGAGGTTGCAGTGAGCCAAGATCTCGCCACTGCACTCCAGCCAGGGTCACAGAGTGAGATCCCATCTCATTTAAAAAAAAAAAAAAAAAATTGGGGAGGGTCTCCATTTTTGCAATTCTCATTTAGCTTCATTTATGAAGTGCCGACTGTATGCCAAACTTGAAGAAATGTCAAGAGTCGCATGCCTATGCCTAAACCACTTCTTCAGGTCTCAAGCCTCAGTTTCCCCACCTGTAAGATGAATGTGTCCATGGCACCAAGCCTGTCTGTGGGGGTGCCAGGTCCAGATGTGGCTGGGCCCCTCCAGTGCCCTCCCGAGCCTCGCTCTCTGTAGGTTTTGCAGAATCTGGTGCACTGCGCTGACCTGAGCAACCCCACCAAGCCGCTGCCCCTTTACCGCCAGTGGACAGACCGCATCATGGCCGAGTTCTTCCATCAGGGAGACCGCGAGCGTGAGTCGGGCCTGGACATCAGTCCCATGTGTGACAAGCACACGGCCTCAGTGGAGAAGTCCCAGGTTGGCAGGGGACTGGGCTGAGCCGGTAGACACTGGGAGAGAGTAAAAGGGAGGGGCTGAGCCAACCCCATGAGCCCTAGCTTGGCCCTGGCTGGCTAGCCAGGGCGTGTGACCTAAGGGTGCTGTCTGGGCCAAGTTAGACCTGGGATCCATTCTCTCTGGGCTTCAGGGAGAGGGACATGCACTTCTGGGGTTTGGAAACATCTATTCTGGGTGACATGCGGGACCCTGGAGGGGCTTCCAGTCTGGGGGACATGTATATTCAGCCCTGTGGGGTCAGGGTTGGGGTTGGAGGAGACCAGAAGGGTTAAGGGAGGCATTCTAGACAGTGAGTTATTTGAAAAGGGTTTTGAAGGATGGGTAGGAGTTGGGAAGCGGCATTCCAGGCAGAGGGAACAACTTGGCTAAAGAGCTGGAGGTTGGATTGAGTCTAGGGTTCACTGTGACTCACCAAATGCCTACCTGCCCAACCCCCCGCCACAGGTGGGTTTCATTGACTACATTGCCCATCCACTGTGGGAGACTTGGGCTGACCTGGTCCACCCAGACGCACAGGACCTGCTGGACACGCTGGAGGACAATCGAGAGTGGTACCAGAGCAAGATCCCCCGAAGTCCCTCAGACCTCACCAACCCTGAGTGGGGCGGGCCTGACAGATTCCAGTTTGAGCTGACTCTGGAGGAGGCAGAAGAAGAGGAGGAGGAGGAGGAAGAGGACGGGGAAGAGACAGCTTTAGACAAAGAGGCCTTGGAGTTGCCTAACACTGAACTCCTGTCCCCGGAAGCTGGCCCAGACCCTGGGGACTTACCCCTCGACAACCAGAGGACTTAGGGCCAGCCCTGTGTGAACTGCAGGGGCAATGGATGGTGAATCCCTTTGGCTCTTGGCAGGCAGACTTTCCAGGAAGTGGCTCCATGTGGCTTTTGCTTCACTTTCCCACCCATTGAGGGAGACAATCAAGTTCTTAGTCATAGGTGGCTCTCAGGGTCTAATTGGAGGCACCTGGCTGGGGTCCACTCTGACCCCGGACTTAACCTAAAAGAGCTCTCCAAGGGGCAGCCTCTTATAATGCCCTTGGGATCTTTCTCCTGGGCTTCTATCCCTGCGAGGAGAGGTGCTGTCTGCTAGAGCCTCTAGCCCACCCTCTCCAGTGGTCACTCTTGAGCCACATCTGTCACTTAATTATTTCCTTCTTTGTCAAATATGTATTGCCCATCTACTTCATACCAGCTTTATGCCTCTGTAGTAGTCCTGCACAAGGGGTGGGGGAGTCAGGAGACCATCCCAAAGGCATCTCACCGTCTTCCTCTACCAAGCAGCTCTCTGCAAGAGCATGGAAATGTGAGTGGGGAAATTTTCAGCACCAAAGCTTCATTCATACCCAATTTTGTTTCTGAAACTGTGGTAGGGGGCAGGAAGAGGAGCAGAAAAGAGGGGCTGGGCAAGGCATGGTGGCTCATGCCTGTAATCCCGGCACTTTGGGAAGCTGAGGTGGGAGGATCACTTGAGCTCAGGAGTTTGAGACCAGCCTGGGCAACATAGCAAGACCCCCATCTCTGAAAAAAAAATTAGCCAGGCATGGCGGTGTGCACCTGTAGTCCCAGCTACTCAGAAGGTTGAGACAAAGAGGATCACTTGAGCCCAGGAGTTGGAGGATGAAGAGAGCTATGATTGTATCACTGCACTCCGGCCTGGGCAGCACAGCAAGATCCTGTCTAAAAGAAAAAAAAAAGACCGGGCGCAGTGGTTCATGCCTGTAGTCCCAGCACTTTGGGAGGCCGAGGAGGGTGGATCACGCAGTTGGGAGATCAAGACCATCCTGGCTAACACGGTGAAACGCTGTGTCTACTAAAAATACAAAAAATTAGCCGGGCATCGTGGCGGGCGCCTGTAGTCCTAGCTACTGGGGAGGATGAGGTAGGAGAATGGCATGAACCCCAGAGGCGGAGCTTGCAGTGAGCTGAGATTGCGCCACTGCACTCCAGCCTGGGCGACAGAGTGACACTCTGTCTCAAAAAATAAATATATAAATAAAAATAAAATTAAAAAAAGAAAAGAGAAGGAAAAGAAAGAGAGGGGGACTCTGAGACTGAGCACGGTGGCCCATGCCTGTAATCCCAGCACTTTGGGAGGCTGAGGTGGGTGGATCACCTGAGGTTAGGAGTTCGACACCAGTCTGGCCAACATGGTGAAACCCCATCTCTACTAAAAATACAAAAATTAGCTGGGCATGGTGATGGGCGCCTGTAATCTCAGCTACTTGGGAGGCTGAGGCAGGAGAATCACTTGAACTCAGATGGTGGAGGTTGAAGTGAGCCGAGATCGTGCCACTGCACTCTAGCCTGGGCAACAGAGCAAGACTCTGTCTCAAAAAACGAGAAAAGAAAAATAAGTTGCCAGGCCAGGTGGCTCACGCCTGCCTGTAATCCTAGCACTTTGGGAGGCTGAGTGGGGGTGGATCGCCTGAGGTCAGGAGTTTGAGATCAGCCTGGCCAACATAGTGAAACTCTGTCTCTACTAAAAATACACAAAATTAGAGGCCGGGTGCGGTGGCTCACACCTGTAATCCCAGAACTTTGGGAGGCCGAGGCGGGTGGATCACGAGGTCAGGAGTGCGAGACCAGCCTGGCCAACACGGTGAAACCCCATCTCTACTAAAAATACAAAAATTAGCTGGGCGTGGTGGTGGGCGCCTGTAATCCCAGCTACTTGAGAGGCTGAGGCAGGAGAATCGCTTGAATCTGGGAGGTGGAGGTTGTGGTGAGCCGAGGTCATGTCATTGCACTCCAGCCTGGGCGACAACAACAAAAAGAGGGGGCTCTGTGCCGACATGTCTCTGAAGATTGATTTAACCTATGCACCAGTTGTTGCTTTAAGTTGCTGTATTTTCTGTCTTCGGTGTCTCTGGATGTAGGAGCCCCCTGCTTTCTCTGTCCTTAGAACTCCATGCTGGGTCCCCCACATGTTGCTCCTTCCCTAGGACAGCAACAAAAACACACAATTTTCCCCTCCCTAGCGGGTCTCCAAGTCTCCTGATTCCTGAAACTGCCTCAGACTTCCCCTAGAGGGAGGGAGGCCCCTGAGGCTTTCTTGCCATCATAGCCCCTTCTGGGCCTCCGTTTCCCCTCTGTAACCTGATCCTAGTACTTGGATAAACTCCGGTTGGGGGTGGGGAGTTGTTGTCTGTTACCTACCTGAAATATCCTAGACATTTGGGGTACTGAGCATTTATCTGGGGTTAAATAAAATCTTTACATCTTAAGACATTCGATTGACCAAATTGAGCGTCCTGGCCATTTCACTGATGGGGAAACTGAGGCACAGAGCGGTCCTCTTGCCAGCACAAAGTCAAGCATCTGGGCGCCCAATATTAGCCAGCGGCGCCCCCTGGTGGCGCGCGTGGGAGACACGGCGGGGCACGCTTCTCCGCGGTTGGCGGGTGGGTTGGAGGGGTGGCATCCTCCCGCTCTGATGGTCCCACTTAGGGCACCTCGCCGGGAAGAGCTTGTCCTGCTGGTCGGGACTCCGAGCGTACTGGGAGCACCATGCTCAAGCCTAGGGTTCGATCCCCGCCTCCGGAAGCCTTAGTATCCATCCCTACCCTCTGCCTGCCTCTTCGCGTGCCTGAATATTTATACAAGATGCAGGCGTCATCACAGCCGCCCTCAGCTTCCAGAGCAGCTGGCTTCGTTCGTAAATATTATAACCACTCAGAATTCATCATCATCACAGTTAATGATAAAATTCCACAGTGCCAGAACTAAAAGTCATCCGGGTTCACGAACTTGGTGCATTTCCTTCCAGACTTTTAAAAGGCAGAGATTTAGGGAATTTTTTTTTCCAAGATTTTTCCCCCAGTCCCCTTACAAAGTAGTACGTGTTCGTTGTAGAAAATTTGGGAATAATGGAAATGTATAAAGAAGGAAATAAAATTCTGCTGTATCTCCACCCATAGATTATCTGCAGTATTTTGCCTTATTTCCCTCCATTTTTCTACATCTGTTATAAGATATTCATATTTCTTTTCTTTCTTTCTCTCTCTTTTCTTTTTCTTTTTTATTTTTTTAGGTGGAGTATATTTAGTAGAAACGGGGTTTTAGCATGTTGACCAGGCTGGTCTTGAACTTCTGACCTCAGATGATCCACCCGCCTCGGCCTCCCGAAGTGCTGGGATTACAGGCGTGAGCCACCATGCCTGGCCCCCTACTGGGTTTTAAGTTAGTGTCTTCTTCCCCAAGAAGTCGTCCCTGGACCCGTATCTGGGATACTTTTTTTTTTTTTAATTTTTTTTTTTTTTTTTTCTTGAGACGGAGTCTCCCTGTTATCACCCAGGGTGGTGTGCAGTGGTGGTGTGATCTCAGCTCACTGCAACCTCCGCCTCCCTGGTTCATGCGATTCTCATGCCTGAGCCTCCCAAGCAGCCTCCTGGGACAGGCACCAGCACACCAGGCTAATTTTTGTATTTTTAGCAGAGATGGGGTTTCACCATGTTGGCCAGGCTGGTCTCGAACTCCTGACCTCAAGGTTAAGAAGTGATCCTCCTGCCTCGGCCTCCCAAGGTGCTGGTATTACAGGTATAAGCCACCGCGCCTGGCCAGATTTTTATTTTTATTTGTCTAGTGTAGACGATAGGGTGGGGCCATGGGGAGGCCTCTGGACTTTCCTCTGAGTGGGGCCGGCCTGGAAGCCCAGCCCCTTCTCCCACCAGCTGTGTCTCTCCTGCCACACAGAAAATGCCCCAAGCCCGCCGCCCCTCCTCCAGCTCAACCATTTCTAATTCCAGAGCCCAGTGCTGCTCTGGATAATCAAGGGCTTGCATTCTTTTTAAATTTAAATTAAGTAATTAATTTTTCTTTTCTCTTTTTTTTTTTTTTGAGACAGAGTCTCGCTCTGCCGCCCAGGCTGGAGTGCAGTGGCCGGATCTCAGCTCACTGCAAGCTCCGCCTCCCGGGTTCACGCCATTCTCCTGCCTCAGCCTCCTGAGTAGCTGGGACTACAGGCGCCCGCCACCTCGCCCGGCTAGTTTTTTGTATTTTTTAGTAGAGACGGGGTTTCACCGTGTTAGCCAGGATGGTCTCGATCTCCTGACCTCGTGATCCGCCCGTCTCGGCCTCCCAAAGTGCTGGGATTACAGGCTTGAGCCACCGCGCCCGGCCGTAATTAATTTTTTGAGACAGGGTCTCACTCTGTCGTCCAGGCTGGAGTGCAGTGGCGCGATACGGTTTCCTACAGCCTCGATCTCCTGGGCTCAAGTGATCCTCCTACTTCAGCCTCGGGAGTAGCTGGGACCACAAGCACGCGACACCACACCCAGCTGATTTTTAAATTTTTTGTAGAGACGGGGCCTCCCTATGTTACCCAGGCTGGTTTCCAATTCCTGGGCTCAAGCGATCCTCCCGCCTTGGTCTCCCAAAGTGGTGGGATTACAGGCGTGAGCCGCCTCACCCGGCTATTTTTACTTTAAAATACTACGTCAGTGACAGAAGCTTTTGCACATTCTCGTGGCTCACTTTTCTCTTCCTGGGGAAAAAAAGGAAGGAGGTATTTCCGAGAGAACCACCCATGTAGGAAGCGTGCCTTTGGGCGATCAGGGAGCTGAGCAGCCTAAAACCTCCTCCCCTCCAACGAGGCCGCAGGCAAGGGCTTGGACCAGCTGCCCTGGAACCCCCCACAGAGCACGGACTACCGCGTGGGCGCGGAGGGCGGGGAGAATGGGAGGTGGATTTCTTTTTATTTTCTTTTTTGTTTTTCTGAATTTTCCCAATCTCTCCGCAGTGGATTCGTGATACTTTTATAGTCCGAGTGGGGGAGGAGGGAGCAAACATGTTACCCTAAAAAGAAAAAAAATAAATTTCCCAAATGCAAACGGTGCGGAGACATGGGGTTGGGCGTCCCAGTACTTCCAGGGCGTTGGGGGCGGGCTGGGGACGGGGTTGGCAGCGGCTGGGCCTCGAGGCGCTAAGTTATTCTGGTCTCTCCGCGCCTCCGCAGCTGGCGAGCTTTTTATAAACAGGACGAGTCACCCCCAACACACACGCACTCCAGCCCCGCCTACTGGGAGGTGTGGGGAGAGAATCTAGGGGATCAGGACTCTCCAGGGGGCCACACACCCCTGGAGGGTTTGAAAGCTGGAGTAGAGGGCGCAGGACACCCAAAGTGGGGGCTGGGGTTTCGGGCTCCTGCCCCCTCCCCAAATTCTGAC